ATCTAGTATTGATAATTACTGGACACAGAGTGGTATTTTATTGTTGTTGTTGTTTGTATTCTTCTCTTTCATGTTGTTGTTGTGAAAAAAATCGCTTTTGTCTTTAAATCAGCATTTCTCAAACTGTGTGTTGCGGCACATCTTGCGAAGCTTTCTGGATTTGTATTTCTATCTACTTACAAATTCGATTTAATAATCGATGCAAAAGTCACCAAAATAATCTAGCCATTTGCACTTTCATGGCTCTGTGAACACGGATTTTCTGCTCTGACTGAAATTAAAAGCAAAAAATGCAGCGACGGAACCTGATTTCAATTTTTTCTCCCAACAGGCACACACATCGCATTAACATTTTCAGAATTAATTTGTTTTTATTTGCTCAGTGCGCCGCGAGTAAAAAAGTTTGAAAACCACTGCTTTAAATGCTAAACCAATTGCTTTAAAATTTTCTATGATAGAAGATTGTTGTTGACGCTAGAAGGCTATTAATTTTATTCATTTTGAAATTTTTTTTGGGCTCTATGGAATTTGTTTTTTCGTGTGTGGTGACGTCATCGAAATTAAAAATTGCGCAAGTTTCGCGTTGTTTTTGTAATGGCCTTGACTCCAAATCTCTACCATGAGGCATATTGTATATGTTAGGAATTTCCACGGAATCATCAAACTGGAAGATGTGGAACCATGCCCTGTACCCAAACGAACATCTTTTAAACTTGTTACTTAGCAAGATAGGCTATCATGTTTGCAGCAGTTTGTGTTGTATTTATATATTTGCAATGTGCATAACAGCGCGCTTTCATCCCGCAAGTTTCATCTAAATTACATTGCGTAAGTCGTGTTATCAAATTCTTTGACTGAATGTAATCAAAAACTAACACGAAATATCTATCATGTTATATTAGGCAAAATGGAACAGGACATAGTTTAAATGTTGTTCAACTACCATGTTTATCGAATGAATATAAACTTTCTCAAAAACGCTTTATCACGAACCAATGTCGAAAACATTTTGACACATGTTCCAATCAAGTCAACAACTCTGAAATCCATCAACAAAATGAGGTATTTAGTACTTACGACTTTATAAATGCAGTCTGTATCAATCCTAATCCAGTTTTAAATTTAAAGCACGTATAAAAAAACCTTGCTCTAGAATTGGTCCTTCATTTTGCTGTCAACAACCTATTAATTACGACAAGCTAGGTTCAGAATAAGAGCTGTCCAGTTAACAAAGATGACATATCCTGGACTAATAAAATATTTCATACAAATATGCTATAGAAATCTGGAGAAATTTTGCCTTCAGCCAAAGCTGGTATCTGTTTAAAGTTAAGCTTACTTAGAAATATTACACTGTGAATATCATTCTTGTTATAGTAGATGACAAAAAGTAAGAGTATGTGTTAAACGGAGTCATGGCTCATTTTCAGTACTAGAACCCGATAGACCTAAATATGATTTATGAATTTTGCAGTCAGCAGTAGTTTAGTAAGTGAGCATACTCCTCAAAATTATTGTACTCACTAAATAGTAATCTCAAACTACGAATCCTTGGAAAAAATAAGTAAATATGATCCAGAGAAGGCAAAAACATGTTGAGTCACATTTATAAACCCTCGATAATATGAAAAATAATGTAATGTAATAATGTTCCAAATTATTTGCATAGAGAATCAACAGTTAGTTCACGTATTGCCTAACCAATAAAGTAAAGAGTACATTTCTGATTAAAGAATGTTACGATCTTCAGATATTTTCAACGTTTTTGCAATTGTTTCCATTGCTATTGGGAACCAAGGATATGCACAAATATCTAAAAGTTTCCAAATTCCCTCCACAAGAGGTGAAACGTGTAACGTGGTAAATTTGAATTTTGCCGGTGATACAGATAGTTCTGTCGATCCAGTTCGTGGACCACCCGGAAGTCCTGGAAAACGAGGTCAAATAGGACTAGCTGGACCGGTTGGACCACGAGGAGAAAAAGTAAGCTATTCTAGTTATAACCAGTGCAAACAAAATTGGTAGCAATACGCAAACTGTGCGTTACTTAATTCATGATATATAGTTGGTTATACGCGACGAACTGAAAATATATTTTCTCTTTAAATTAGTCACTACTTGATCAAGTCCATTCAGCAATGTATACATAGTATGTAGTATATACTCAAATAAAAAAATTAAAATTAAGCTGAACAATGAGCCTGTCAAATGTTTTTCTAGGGCGATCAAGGGTTGAAAGGTGTCAAAGGAACGAGTGTGAATGTAACAGAAATAACCACAAAAATTCTGGGAATTTTGGGTAAGCGATTATCGCTGCTGAAATTTAGGGATTTGCCTTTGATCCCAGATACATATTAGTCAGTCTGTAGTTTATTTTTTCACATGCCGAATATACACATTTTAAAAACATAATTGATAAAGATTTAAAAAATGAAAATGCATTTCAGTGTGAGGGGGAGACGCGATAAACCAGTGAGCAGCAGATAAACTAGCAAGCAGCGTCACCTATTAAATTTTTCGTAATGTTTCCCTACGCCTAAGATACCGATAACATATCACGGTGTTCAAGTTGTCCCCTTATTATTTATTTGGTTTCGCATTTTCAAACTGAAATGTAATACATTTTTTTTTCATTTTGAACGATCCATATATATTGTGTGAATTCAAAAGGATAAAAAATAAACTGTGCTGATAACCGGATCGTGTTGTCGATTAGGTGCAACAAGCTGCAAAGACTTGATGGATCTTCATGAGGTTTCATCTTCCGGATATTACTTGCTTAGAGTAAACGACTCTGCAACACCAGAATATACATACTGCGATTTTGAATTACGAGGTTTGATTAAACCTATACTTTTAACGTTGGTTTTTAGTTTCTTCCTGAAAAATCTCGAGAAACTTCAAATTTTTGGTTCACATTACAGATTCATAGTAGCATGGCAAAACCATTTCAGAGGCACCGCCGCATATTCACACAAATACAATACTGGGAACCATCACAACACCTAAAGTAAATTTTGTCCTAAGCATGATTCCAAAGTCATCATGATACAATAGCTTCCAGTGATGATAAACATTTTCAATTATTTGATCACTTTATTAATAATTATAATAAGCAATCTTTTTAATCTGAAGTGAAAGATCTTTTGATGACTTTTTTCGTTGAAATAAACTTGTTTACTGTATAGGAACGCATTTTGTTTTGATTTCTGTGTTTACCCTCTTAAGCTTTAACTTAGCCTCTTCCATGCAGTAATTCTACAAAGTTTCATTACAGCTGTATCCAAATGCTTGGAAATTGGCGAACAAATAGAGTCACCTATACCAGGATATTATCTAATCAAGCCAGACTCAATTGCTGAGAGTACTTACGTTTATTGCGATAAATTTAGTAAGTGCTGCAAATTTTGTATTCGAAAGTGTCAACCCTCGATACGTGGAATTATATCATTTGATGTGTTTGCTTTTTAATAAACAAAATTGCAATAATATTGTTGAAGTTGACTGCACACTTGGGATATAAATTGTTTCACAGATTCTAAGAGCTGCCAAGATGTTGACAGAAAAAATGCCAAGATTTGGAAAATTACTGGAGGCATATTTAATATATCTCCAAATAAAACTAAGCGAATAGAAGTCTACTGCGATCTTACAACGGATGGCGGAGGATGGACTGTGAGTTTGCATAGGATTATTGTTAAAACTTCAATTGCGATCAAGAATTAAAATATATATACCGAGATAATGGCGTTAAAGACGCTGAAATGTAGTGGCGTTGGACATATATAACACAAGGTCGATCATTAGAATTATAAATTCAACTTTTTGTTGTTGGTATGTTGGTGACCAATTTAGTAATTTTGAATATATTGAACGCATATATATCCAATCTATAAACAAACCCTATTTGTTTCATTAAATCTTTTATGAAGAAAATAATGCTTTTTTGGGGGTTTACCATCCGCTCTTAGAATTAATCAGCAATTGAAAAAGTACTCACTGTTCATTTGGAAAATTGTTGATTTTGATACAGAAAATTTGCCTCACATTCCACTCGCAATCAAATTGTAAGTACTTGAAGCTGGAAATGTCTCCTAGTATTTTTGCTGTTCGTAAAATTCTTTTCGGTAACCCCGTGTGGGTCTATTGATTTACAAAACTGCGTCACCTTGTGGAGAATTGAGAATATTTTATATATCCTAATGTCGGATCTTATTGAATAGCTCGATCTCTCTGAATTATAGGTTTTTCAGCGACGTCAGGATGGATCAATAGACTTTTTCAGAAATTGGAATGAATATGTAAACGGTTTTGGAGATAACGACAAGGAAATGTGGCTAGGTAATCGATATAAGTTCAAGTCTATTTTTCTACCGATATCATGTGTATAATTTAGTTTATTATTCAATTAGTTTTGATTCTTTAAGAAAGGAGAAGGGAGTTTTTATAACCCTCAAAAGTACTCCGATAAATATTTGTGATGTGGTTTGTAGGTTTGGAAACGATATATCAGCTGACTAAAAACGGAAATTATGAACTTCGAGTTGATTTGACAGATTGGAGTGGAAACACTGTACATGCTAAATATGAGTGAGTAACTAAAAGCAAAACAATACTCAAATATATCGACAAAAAGATAGTACCGGGACATTCCTTTACGCAGTTCGCTGATAGTAACCATTTAGTAGGAAACGTTATCTTCTCTAAATGCTCTTGAAAAAACAGTAATCAAAAACAGATGCAATACATTGTTTTAACAATATCAATACAAAGTCCGGAATTTGTTGTGCATTTTTGATCCACCCATAAAAAGCAATTATCTGATGATTATCATCAACTGTTCTCAACAGAAATAAAGTTAAAATGTCCAGCAGATAATAATCTTTCCCGTCGTCTTGTAATCATGACTATTTGATACTTACCGAGTCCCCTGGTTAAACTACACTAGTTTAACTATAATCAAAAACTACAAACTAGTTCAATTATAATTTTGCTTTTAGCACGTTTAGTATAGCACCTGCTTCTGACAACTACAGACTTACTATCGGTGGTTATTCAGGAAATGCTGGAGATTCTTTAGCCTATCACAACAATCAGCAGTTCACAACAAAAGATGCTGATCATGACTCGTGGAGTACAAATTGTGCATCTCAATTCAATCAAGGAGCTTGGTGGTACAACTCATGTTCTTTCTCGAATCTGAATGGGATTTATTATAAGCAAGAATCCTATTCAAAACCTTATCATGGAACTTTTTGGTACCATTGGAAAAATAGCAGACTTCACTCGCTTAAATTTACGGAGATGAAATTCAGAAAGAAAAACTAAGTTTTACAGAATAAATTAATTTCTATGTCAATGTAACTTTTTCCTGTTCATTTGTGAAATGCATTATTTCAAAGATATTGTACAAATCTGGAAAAGCTAGTAAAAAGATATTCCTATCTCCTACTGTAGCCACAGTTGGCGTTCCTATTTTTGGATTATATTTAGTACAACAATATTCGTATATTATAACAATACCAAAAAAGAAAAGCATTTATTTTATTTGTCAGGCAATACAAGAAGATTTCGGAACAATGAAAACTAATTCAGGCTATTGCGAAACAACTTGGAATAACATCCTTTGTAGTATTTGTCGTTAGGTATGGCCTAAATGCAGTTTATGATATATGAATTGCCAATATGGCAAAAGCAAACTAATATTACAACAATACCCTGAGTGAGATAAAACTTGTACCGGCGAATCAGTAGCTAAATATTGAAGAGAGAATAGAGCAAATATGAGCCCATAAATTAGCCATAAGAAGCAAAAACACCGTAATCATTACTAATGTGTTTTGTAACTGTCAGTACAGCTGTATCTGCCAGGTAGGCTATATAGTTGTGGAATTTCGGCACCCTCAGTACTATTCAGTGGTATGCTGAAATAGCATTTTATATACTGATATTTGTATAAAAAAAACATAAAAGCCCCAGTAGGAGTAGTAACACTACGATCTGATGCTCAATGAGAGAACGTTATCGAGAAATCACTCCACTTTCACCAATGTTGCGATTTTTGGCTTTTTTTCTTCCAATCAACTTCATTCATGATCAAGCAATATTTGTTAATTTAAACGAGTTATGTATTATATATTATACGCACCCCAGAGTGAAATTTAGATCTTGAAACAAAATATGAAGTTAGGCCCAACATTCAACAATGGTTTCAGTTTTAGGTGCCTAGTACAATAACGTCATCACGATTAAGCTGTGAGACTTCAACGCTAAAATTATTGCATTTCATATTCTGTAGCAGTATCACGGTTCTATATAAACCAGGGATCGGCAACCTTTTGTCGCTCACGGGCCAAAGGTAAGGGTTGCAAGTTACCACACATATTTTTGAAAGTTAGAAATCGAACGGATTGCTAATGAATCACAATTTCTTCACACAGATCAGTAGTTGAAATTTTAGATTTAAACATCGCGCGAAGACTGCGACCACTCGTGAACTCAAGTTAGTCGTTCTACTAGAAGGAAAAAATTTACAAATGAAATTTAATGTGACACATGTTGTTGCATCACGCTTGATAGCTTTTCGACATCAGGTGACACACTGGATAAAGCCAAGATTGGAACATTTTCTAGGCATCACTAATAGGCATCCCTAATCCGAGTTCGCGGATTGTTCTTTATAATGTTCATTTTCGAAAATTATTGTTCGCACGCATATGTACTTCAAAATATTGATGTGAATTTTTTGCATAGTTTGTCACATTTGTATGAGATTTCGTTCAAGAAGATATTTTTTTTTTGATTCAAGCAGTAATACATCTCTCGAATAGAATAGGGATTTTATTTCCTCAATGCATTGCATCTCAAGAAGCTCTATTCGAATATTTTGTGCGCCATTGAACCATCTGCACCCAGCATCAACTTTCCTGCGTATTGCCATTTGTCTAATTATAATTAAATTGTAGGCTCGTTAAACGAGTAGCTAGCTGTTCACTGAATTGTTAGGTTATAATATAATTTAATCTACATGTCTCACAATAAATTTGGTTAGGTAAAGAATATAATCAACTCCTCGAGCGTGGATTATAAAATAAATTCATCGTCAAAACCCGCTGTTTTGTCGCTATAATTCAGTGAAGCGTCGCAGCTCGCAGGCCGGATTATTTTACCTCGTGGGCCGGATCTGGCCCACGAGGGGCGCAAAATACAACGGTAATTCTCGGGAATTAACTTTGAAATAACTGAAGGCTTTATATATATAAATCTTCTATAAAGGAACGCCACCCATGCAACCTAATAATAGTCTGATTAGAACGGTAAACTCTCGTTGTTCATTAAATTTAAAGTAAGTTAACTGAGTGGGGTTGGTAACGTGATATATATATACAGCCAAAAATATACATATAGCGCCAACCAAATATACATATAGCGCCAACTAAATATCCATATATAGCCAAAGTCATATCAATATACAGCCAATTAATATCCAAATACAGCCATTTTGGTGATGTACAAATACTGCCAATTCATATGCATGTACAGTACAGCCAATTAGATATATATATATACATATCATGATATTATAAGTGTGTTAGAGTCAGGGGTTTCAAAATAACTCTCAGAAACTCCAAAACGGCTTTTGATGAAGTTACTTACAATAAGTGTAAAATATATGGTATAAAATATTGTGATATTAGCATCATTTAGTCTCTAGTGACAAGTAAGTCTCTACATGTTATTTGTTCAAAGCGTACAATGTCAGCCTCTCGTGGTGCATGAATACACACAATAGGTTGCAATCCATGATGCCATAAGATAAAGCCCCACAACAGCTGATTGTGATAACATGCAAAATGTGTCGCTGCCAACGAGGACATTGAAAATCTCTTTTGGTTATTCGTTTATTTTTATATTTGGTTTTCTTTGGTTATTTTGTCAACAAACTAATCAAATTAAAGTTTGGTGCAAACTATCATTACTCACATTACATGTTTATAGAATGAGACCATACTCGTTGACGCATTGGATTAGTGTGATTACGATTACAGAAACTATATAACGGCTATTGATCGAAATATAAAAAATGACTTACAACTAGGGCAAAGTAGATATAATAATGATATAAACATCATTCCATGATATGAACATCATTCAATCATTCAGCGGTAGGCCTTCACATTTTGCAATATAATAAGTTATAAAGTTGCCGGTGCATGTGGTTAAGAAAGAAATTAAATTAAAAAATTAATGTTAAGCTGTCTGTTTGTTAAAAAAAAAACGATTCAACTGAAAATGTCATTTATTATATGCAAAGGCCAGAAAAATATGGAAATGCCATTGACATGAGAATGAAACGGTAGTAATGCTGAAATAGGTTATATATACAACAATCCTGGAAAATAAAAAGCATAGTGATTTAGATGTCGTAAAGCAGTGGTTCTTAAATCTTTGTAATAAGACGCCTTTGTAACTCTCCTCACATGCGACGCACTTGAGAAAATATTTGGAAACGAAATGATAGAAACACTAAAAATCAAGTTTGGTTAGCTTTATGAGACGTGAGGACTTAGCAGTGGTATAATATAGCTCTTCGATAAACCGTTTGTATCGTTTTTAGTACAAGCTGAATATTCGTTTTTCCAGAAAATTCGCAAAATTTTCGGATTAACTAAATTGAACTAATCTTACAGTGAACTCAGAAAGTAACATTGTAGTTTGATTTTATCAGTAATTATTTACTACAGGCATGTAATAGTTAATTCAAATATGCATATCTACAGTCAGTAGAGTATGACTTGCCAATTAAATATTTGTGCGACGCAAAATTAAAATGACTCGTCAGTGCGCCGTGTCGCACCATTCAAAAACTCCTGTTGTAAAGAAATAAGAGATAATATTTTAGAACATTAAAATGGCACAACATTATATTCTACGAAACAAATGACGGCAAGATTGTATAATTTTTTATAATTACAATTTAATTGTTACCGTGTTTCCCCGAAAATAAGACTGGGTCTTATTTCAATTTTCTTCCGAAAAATAACACTGGAGTTTATTTTCGGGGGATGTCTCATATTTTTATTTATCAAAAACAAAATTACAAAGTAGAGAATTACGAGGTTTTCAAATATACAGAATATGAATACAGATATTTCTTTACTTATAAATAGCACGTTTTTATTCAAAATAGCTGGAAAACATATATTATCAGTCATTTAAAACGTGTAAGAAAATTTTTTTGCTATCGACTAAATAAAAAAAAAATTCGCGTTATTGACTAAGGATTATTTTAGGGGAAGGGGCTTATATTAAAATCATTTTTAAAATTCAGACTAGGTCTTATTTTCGGGAAAACACGGTAGCTTGTACTTGCAACTTGATTTCGAGAAAGGTATTTTCGTTACATGTGAAAATATCACCGAGAAAAGATTTTCAGCGAGCACATTCCCCACGCTATCCAAGACCAAGAAGAGCCGTTGTGGGGTATTATGATATCATAGTTTGGCGCCTATTGGATATTTCTGAAGAGCTTAGTTGGGGCCTATTGAATATTTCTCAAAAACTACTCGACGGCAGTTTTATGTCTTATGTTGAATGATGCTCATATCATGATATTTTATTCCTTATACTTTACACTTGTTACAAGTCATTTCTCATATTTCAATCAAAAGTTGTTTTCGAGTTTCTGTACGCGTGACAGTAGTAGTCTCATCCCACTAAATACAATGACGATTCGTCTTAACTTAAACAAACTGCAAAGTGTGCAATGATAGTTTCTGCCAAACGTTAATTTGATTAATTTTATGCAGTATATTGCCAATAACCAAAGAATAGTTCACCCAAAAGAGATTTTCAGCGAGCACATTTCTCACGCTATCCAAGATGAGCCGTTGTGTGGTATTATGACAGCATAGATTGGCGCCTATTGAATATTTATTAAGAACTACGCGCACAGGTAGTTTTATGTTTCATATATTCCACCAAACGTTTATTTGATTATTTTGTGGACAGATTATTGCCAATAGCCAAAGAATAGTTCTTTCAAATAAGATTTTCAGCCATCACATTTCTTGTATTATCAATCCCATGCGGGGATGGTTTTGTGCGAAAGGATTGCTTGACTCCTTGCTGCTGTAGGGTGGTTCAAGTAACCGGTTGTCGGTTACGGCTTTCACCACCATCAAGTCCATGCTTCCGAAAACAAATAACTAGCTGATACCCGACATGGAATGGTAACCGGACAAGCGGCCGTGGTTTGCCATATGGTTGAGCCGTCTTATCGGCTTTCCTCTCTAATGGTATAAATATGTAAATCCTATCTTGATGACTTTATTTGTATATTGATTTGGCTATATATGCATATGACTTGGCAGTATTTGTACATCAACAAAATGGCTGTAAATGGATATTAATTGGCTGTATATTGATATGACCTTGGCTGTATATGGATATTTAGTTGGCGCTATATGTATATTTAGTTGGCGCTATATGTATATTTTTGGCTGTATATGTATGGCACGTTACCAACCCTATCGAGTAAACTCGCGATATTTCGATCATTTTTGTATTTTCTCCGACTTGCGGCCCGCGAGACCTCCTCAAAAGTTTTTGCGGTCCTTCAACCTAGCAACCTTGAACCACCCTGAGGTAGACAACAAGGTACCAGTAAAATTTCAAACCACAGTTGTGACTTGTATCCTTGGGTATTTCGATTCACGTTTAGACTGGAGGCATGGATCTTTATTGTCACACTTCCTCCGGATTAGAGCTCAACCGATATATCGGCCCGATATTGCGTGTTTACCGATATATAACTGTTAAAACACCTAAAAATGTTCGTAGAAGTTGTTTTATTTACTGTTGGTTGTGATTATTTTTAATGGATAATACACTTATGTGGTTTATTGTTTTTCTAATTAAATTACACATCAGAGGGCACCAAAGTCTTCAGTGATTAGTGTACCAAAGGGGATTAATCCGCCCCTGGTTGAACCTGACACGAAGTCGAAATATAGGCCGGTGTAGGTAGCAGTCATAATGAAGATGCCTGGTGGAAAATTTAAAATGTTATCGCTTATTTACACGTTAGGGATGTGATAACGTGTCCTCTGACTGCATGCGCTGTATAATAAAACAGATGACCAACCGACTTCTACATTCGTGAATTTGATTGATAAAACAGCAATTATAAAAAGTACTTACATCACCGTACGGTCGTGAGAATTTTTCTTGTATATTCATGATTAGTTCAGAAAATACTATGAAATTAAAATTCAAAAAATATTTAAATATAAAAAACTATGAGAGCATTAGCACGAATCAATAAATTTGGAAATGAATTACAAAATTACACTGATACGAAATTCTAAAATACCTGCAACAATTAACACAGCCGCGCCAACTTTTCTAAAAACTTCTTTGTTCTCAAAAATCACCGCGTACTTGCCGACCTGCGGTTACCAGTCCATAGAATTAACCAGCCATTTATTTGTTTCAGATGCATGGACTTGGTTGTGGGGGAAGCCGTAATCGACCATCGGCTACGACAGGGGTCGGCAACCTTTTGTCGATCGCGGGTCAAAATTAAGGGTTGCATGTTTTGGCGGGCCGCACATAATTTTTAAAAGTTAAAATCGTAACAGCGCGCGAAGACTGTGAAAATTCGTGAACTAAACTTAGTCGTCTTATACAAATTACAAATAACATTAAATGTGACACTCACTGTCTTGTTGCTGCATCAAGTTTGGTAGCTTTTCGACATCGGCGGCACACTGAATGAAGCCAAGATTGAAACATTTTCCCAATGGCTATCACTAATTCTAGTTATCTTTTTCTTTGTAGTGTTCATTTTCGAAAATAATTGTTTGCACGCAAAATGTACTTCCAAACATCGAAGTGAATTTTTGCGCTTGGTTTGTCAAATTTTAATAGAGATTTTTTATCGAGAACTGACGAGAACTACCTCGCGGCGGGCAGGAATCCAGCTATCCTCTCGCATGTGATTATCGCCAACAGGATTCAAACCTGCAAACACACGCAGAATACAGCAATCAAATACACAATGCGCCAGCCGCCGAACAAAAACAGGCTTCGCGAAATCGCCCCCTTCTACATCGATTCCGCCCACACTTGGGAGATGGGGGGTTATCGCCGACTTTGGGAATTACTGTTGTAGACTACTGTACTTGATCACATAAGAATATAGTCGCTATAACAACTGTTATTGAGATACAAAGTGAAATATTCTCAATTTTAATATTAGGTTGAATAGATAAATGAGACCCATGCTATAAAAATTAAGTCTTCCCCCGTATGGTTGTATTTGATAAAACGTGTGAACGTTCAAGATGTTGACTAAAAAGGAATATTAAATAAACGGTCGGAATTTATTCTGTCGTCTATCATTGCTTGGCACGATAACCTATTTTAAGGGCAACTAACTACTTTGTAAATAACAGTCCGAACGATAAGTAAGTACTAATGATAGTATGATTTTAAACCTTCACTGGAGGCAACCTCCACAAATCCACTTTAAACAACAAACTCCAATGCAAATCAATTCAATGAAAAGTTGCAAATATTATACACTAATACACATGCGATATGTTATCCCGGTCTTTCCAGAAATTCCCCAAAAAGAGTGATAGACACCCAGTTAATTCAAAGAAAATTTTATTATTTCAATCTCAATTTTTTATATGATTCAAAATGGCCAAAACCAACAAACGTTGGTCGTTGTCTTTAAAATATTCTTATTTTCCAACAAATGCAACAACTCCCCCGATAATTGCGAGACAAAACGAAATCCATCCAAATGCAAAGCTATATCCCCAGGTGACGTTTGGAACAGACACGACTTCAGAATATAGGCCGGTGTAGGTAGCCATTCCAATCATAATGAAGATGCCTGATAGAAGAGTTAAAATGTTATTGCTTATTACTTATCGATTTTAATCAGTAAGTATGTTGATAGGTATTTGTCAGTCTGTATGTCTGTTAGATGCACGCGATATCTCACGAAAGCGAGATCTGCTCAAGATTTTGCGTGTGCATTCATCTTATCTCGGACCAGAAGCCTATTGATTTTGGACGAATTATGTCGTATAATTAGCGAGTTATTAATTAATTAGTGATGGGACACAGGGTGTCACTATGGAGTAAGAGCGCTGTTTTGGGGATCCCCTAACTTTCGATCGATAAGTCTTCGGTCTCTGAGCGATATTTTCGTTTACATGTTAGGGATGTGGTAAGGGGTATAACGTTTCCTTTGACTGCACGCCTTGGCGCTGCATAATAAAGCAGGTGGCCAGTCGATTTCTACATACGTGGATTTGATTGATAAAACGACAAGTATAAAAAGGACTTTCATCACTGTACGGTCGTGAGAAATTCTCTCGTATATCCATCAGTTTTCAGAAAAATAGTAGCATTAGCACGAATCGATAAATCTGAATAATAATTCCAAAATACCTGCAACAATTGATAATGCCGCCCCAACTTTTCCAATAACTTCTTTTCCTTCTTCACGGCCAGCTATCAAAGCAGCTATAGCACCACACAGCAATATCGCATCTCCCATCACGTTGAAAGCGATACAAACTTTTTCAGCGTCTCCTCGATTCACTGGAATAAATATAACAATATGAAACTCAAAAAAGTAAAACTAGCTGAATTATAATTTTGATTTAAATTGAGAGTAAAGTTTGATTTTCGAAATTTATTTATGAATTTCCAGTATGCATGTAGGTGTTTGATGAAAGAATTCGCAATGGAACTGCGGTCATGTGAATCACTCTGCATCGGCGAAGATTCCGGCATGAGACCCGTAACTTTCACTCAAAACTACTGAACAATTTGTCAAAAAGATGTGAGGTATTTTATCAATACTTTTACTAGGAATATGCATTTCGGAATCCGAAAGAAATTCAATATCATTATGTATGTAATCGCAATTTGATAATTTACCATCCAGAGTTGCGTCACCAACTTTCCTCTTGAACAAGCCTACGGAAAACGAAGTTGTGTAGATCCAACCAGGAGTTGCCAATGCAACTACGTTGAAAATCATTGCAATCACAAGCCCGCCTCCAGTGCCAATGCGAAGTAAACCCATAGTGATACCTGGTGCTACCTATTAATTGACAGCTAAATTAAAATAAACTTTGGATCGGGAAAATCGAGCAGGATTATTGTGTGGGGGAAAATAAAAAGAAGAGCAAAATATATATTAGTAATTCGCATTTGATAATAAAAGGACATTTGCTATCATAGTTGGTCAAAAAACATAAAGATGAAACGCTAAAATTTGAGGCTTTTGTACATGGCGTATTACCATGATACCTCTTTAAGTAAGGTTGCAAAAATATGGGAAGTTAATAAACAAACTGATTCTGTGTATATTCTAACACTTAATTTACATTGAAACTGGTGGCGTTTTGGGTATAAATACGTTTCGGACCACGAAGGCTCGTGTACGGAGATACCTTTATCAACGATACGCGCGGGTAGATCCCCGTGATTGCATTTTTCGTTGATGAAAGTGAAGTGTTTCGTTACCGCTCATTGCAGGAATCAACACGCCTAACCTACTCATTATATAGTGATCGAGATGAGCTTCTGATTCAGAGACCGTCCAAGTGTTTTCAAACCTCCAGGAAAACAAGCCATTATCTGAAACTTTTTTCACATTTCATTAACTTTTCAAACTTCGACAACGTAAAATAGTGTTTCACAATCTATTAAAATCAAATCTTTCACGCTTCGAATAAATCACGTCGGGTTTCTTTGAATTGTGACAGCAATTCAACAGTACCGTTTACATAAATAATATAGGCTACATTAGTTTTTATTTTCCTATATTACGATTTTTAAATCCGGGAGTAAAAATATAGTTGTGTCTCATTCGTTTGTCTCAGCGAACAACCAAAAAAAAATTGCCGAAATACCCGTGAAACCACGCCAAATCTATCACAGTTTAGTCACACAATTCAGGATATTTTTGTCGTTTGTAAACTTTTCATTCATTTATATTGATTGGAAATCTACAGCAAACAGGAATCTCGGCAGAGGATAATGTCTGACTCTGTGAACTGAGTGATGGATTCTATATTTTCAGTAATTTATGTGTGTATATGACTCATTACAATAAAAAAGATACATGCAATTACGCATCTTCCAAATATTAAAGATTCGATTCGAAAAAAAATAATCAATTCGATTATGAAATCATCAGATATTAGAAAACTGTGAACGGTCAAGATTATGAAGACTATTGAATAAACAGTCTGAATTTATTCCGCCTTCTATGTAGAGCTCGACCGATATATCGGCCAACGATATCAAAGGAATTTATCTTTATCACGATTCACTTTAAAATATAATAATTATTAATTTTCCAAAAGCCTTATCATATGCCCATAGCTATATTTAAAAACGTCGAATTAACAATTCTTTTTCCTGGAAATAGCTAGACTGATATTGAAGTAGCAGAAAAAGTTACAGAATATCATTTGTTCAAGCATTAACTGGATTTAGTTAAATAAAAGTCTTACTGCAATGATAATAAATATCAAAATGAAAATACAGACTCGTGAGGTACATCATAAAAGCCCATTTTGGGGCTCAAAATATGATTTATATTAATAGCGGTATCGGTTATCGGCCACAAGCTGGCCGATATATCGATATCGGTATCGGCGTCAAAAAGTGATATCGGTAGATCTCTACTTCTATCATTGCTTGGTGAGATAACCAATTTGAAAGACTACCAATTGTTAAAAACAGTCCGAACGATAAGTGAGTACTATAGAATGAATAGTCTGAGCGATGGTGTAAAGAAACAAGTTTGTTAAATTTTGATGTCTGCATGTTGAGTTTGTGAAGCCTCTTTACTTCTTTAGTAGAATTAGTATGAAAATTTGACCGGCAAACGTCCCCTGTGATAAGTTTAAATCAGTGGTTCAGGTATGCTTTGCTAATATTATAATTTAAATAGTGTTACAGATACTGCTGCATTCGGCAGATATGGGGCCATCTAGTCTACCAATGTACTGCAGAATCATGGCAAAGTTCCTATTAATTTACAGCTACGAGATTCATCTTCCTTTGCGACCATGGCTATGAAAAAGTTTGACCACCTATGATTTTCATTACTACTCATGGGTTAACAATCCAGTAACAATATCTACCTTTATAAATTACAATCAAATAAATAACGTAATTATAACTTACGTCAACTACTTGTTGTAAGGACAACTACAAAAAAGTCAGTCTGGCTAGCGAATGATTTGCATTTACTGCTCATTTTGGTTAACAGTCGGGCTATACGTGCCTTTGTAAATTACATCCAGAAAGAACGATATACCATAACTGCTGTCCATCAATCAATCTCCTTGCGTCTGTACGTTCTGCCAACGCTCTTTCATGTCTCTTAGTCCCTTTTCCAGAACAGATGAACGCGAAAGTCATTCGACGATGTCATCACGCCCTATTTAGACCCCAACCATGACACCCAAAGAAGAACGCTCCTCACCGGGCGGAGATTAGAACTCGTCTGACTTTATTTTCCCGCCAAAACAGGACCGTAAAACCACATCACATAAGGAATACCATATAAGGAATATGACTCACAATAACACTCCAGCATCATATTCATATAAAGGGGGTGATATTGTACAAGATAACAGGACGTATAGGGAATAGCGTTGACAGTAATGACGTTGACAATAATAATATTAATAATACTGGTGCTCCCGTATTCCTTTGTAAAGTCCCTAAACGCTTATGGCTTCAGGCCAAGCATACACTAAATCGTCTAATAAACTAAATGTTTCGCGGGCCACACGAATTTTTATTTTGCGTTTAGCGGACCTCATGTTCGTCACCTCAGCTCTAGAATAGACGAATACATTGTTAGATAAATTGTCCAGTGGTAACATTTATAGTTAATATTTGTTTCATATTAACCATTAACCGGTGGTAACCCGTGTTAGGTGACTTCCTCATTTTTACGACCACAGTAAACATTTATTTGAATCGGTAAATGTAGGTGATTTACGTGTCCATCAAGATAACAACATCAATCTATAGACAGAATAAAATCTTGTTTTCACACGAAGATATGCGTCGCGTAATTTCTATCAAAGCTTGAAGTTGAAATACTCGTGCGGCTAAGACGCGGATGAGTCAAAACATTCACGTCTCGAAACGAAAATTTAACTCCTAAAAGAATCTCAGTCAGTGCTTCATTTTTGGTTAAAGTTAACTCGTTTTTTAGATCCAATAAATGTCGTGAAAATTTTTTTTTATTTGTACAGTGCGTTATGGTATATAATTTTAGGTGTAAAGTTTGACACTTTACCTCCATAGAATTGAGTCGCAAATAGGCGAAGAAAGAACTGCGACACCAACCTTGAACAACGAATTTAACGTTAAACGATCAGAATATGAACGAAAGAGGTTTTATTGTCATTTACGCTGGAATACGGACATCCTAATGTTACGAATAGTAATGAAGAGAGACTCACCGCAAACACGCACGCGATTAATTTGGATTCCCGCGTAAACAAGTTATTTCATATAAACCCTGCTTTCGCCTTGTCGAGGCAGTTCCTCGCTCTCCGCTTTTCTCTTATTTATCGTCTCTTCTCTCTTGTTTTGTTCAATTGGTTAAACGCTGACATGCTGAATTTATCTACGACGAGTTTTCATTAACCAAACGCCACCGTAAATTCGATTATGTTAGCATTATTTAGTTGAAAGAAAATAATAAAAAAAAATAAATAAAAAAGTGATAGGAATATTACGAGCATAGACTCTGAATACGCAGATATCCTAACCGAGATTACAGGCCGCTTCAAATTTGTAATCTGTCCTCATTTCCAATATATATACTTAGTAATTAAAGTTTGTCTGAAACACAGTTATTCGCGAGTGAACATAATTGTGGATGCAAATGTGGGTTCAAATGTCTGTGCGTGCAAATATCTGTAGGTGCAAATGTATATGGATGTAGATGTTTGTGGGTATAAATACGGGGATGTGTCTGGAGGGGTACATGCGGGCAGTCGCGGGGAAGAACATTATGGGTTGCTGGGGGTAATACAAACATTTCACTATCACTTGACTTCCAATTTATTTATCATCATGTAGATTGTAGAACGACATCTATAATTTGTATATTCCCTAAATCGTTATTGAAGTTAAATATGAGGGGCATCATTATTAGACTCGCCCTGGGCAGCAGAAAAATTTGAGACGCCCTTGGTGCAGATGTCCATAGACGAATTCCCGCGGGTTCAAATATTATGAGAGTGCTAAAGTCTGTGGGTGCAAATCAAATGTCATGGGTCCAGTTTACGGAAGGTTGCGTACGGGTACAAATGTGCTGTCACACTTTCTTCGGGTACACACGATCTAAGTTCTTTTATGTTGTTTCCACAGTTAAAATACACGAATACATTGTTAGACGAATAATTTTCCGGTGGGATAATACGGTAATCGTTATTATTTGTTACATATTAACCGGTGGTAAGCCGTGTTGGGTGACTTACTCATATTCGAGACCGTAAATTAAACATTGGCTCATTTGACTTGTAAATTCATGTCGGTGCTTTATGTGTTTATCAAGATAACAGGTAACGAACGATTCAAATTGCATCCTGCTTGCACACGAGGAGATGCGTCGCGTTCATCGCGTAATTCTATCAAAGCCCAAAGTTGAAATACTTGTGGAGCTAAGACGAGGGTCGGTCAAGACATTGATGTCTCGCCACGAAAATTTCACCTTCGAAAGAATATCAATACCGAGCTTGATCTTTGCTTTTTAGGATAGTTGACTTGCCTTTTAAATCTACTAAATATCGTAAAAAAAATTTTTTATTTGTACAGTGCATTATGGTATACTATATATTATAAGATATCAATTGTACAGATACTTTACTTCCGTGATATTGAAGAAAAAGAAGACTAAAACAAAGATAGGTGTATTCTTTCCATATTCCTGTATATACAAAGAGGAATGAAACACTGAATATTTTTCTACTTGCGACTACCCTCGTGTGGTACCCAGAATCTACACGTAGGGGCGTAATAAGTAACTTTTGCACCCTTATCTCGTCGATTTGAGAATCCACTCGGTTGCATACCACAGTCCTATTTTATTTAAACATGATCTGGTAGCAAAGAAGATACAAAAAATACTAAAATAAATATACGTGCATGAAATCCAAATAACCAACCACATTACATCAGTAGTTTATGCGACCTACAAAAATAAAAATCAGTTGTCTGATCATTCAAATGCTTCAAACAGACTCACAACTGAATTCGTGGTAAAGCTTTAGAACAGAGGGTTTGTCGATAAGATGACGGACTAGCCTATAGCAATGCTACGTGGTGGCATAATATGTGCAAACATTTTGGGCAAAATACACTAACTCAAAGGTCTCGACGAATATAATGATCTTCTAAGAACTTCTTCCATTATGGGGGATTAAAAATCGATATGTGTATTAGTTGTGGAGAAAGTGGATTTTCATAACAACAACAACTGAATTCTGTTGCATCATATATCTTTGAATTACGCTATATGCACGCAAAGTATGAGAATAACTTCAGAACAGGAAATTGCTACAACCACAAGCATTGAATTAACTTAATTAAAATTTTATTATTTTTTCGTAGTGCTTATTTTCCAACAAATGCAACAATTCCCCCGATAATTGCCAAACAAAACGAAACCCATCCGAATGCAAAACTATATCCCCAGTCGACGGATGGAATCGATACTACTCCAGATTTTAAACCGGTGTAAGTAGCCATTCCGATCATAATGAATATACCTGAAAAAATGGGTTTAGATTAGATTATATTTCTCGTTCATTTACATATTTTCATGTGGAGCATCCAGTTTGGCCACATACCAAGGTCCTGTGTAGAAAGATGAAACTAGTCGACTCGGCGGTGTGCCGCATTGTGCTAAGCGTTAGGAATACGTTCTCCACGCACCTCTGATTACTCTGCGTGGGTTCGCAGATTCAATTCTCGGGGGGGTGGGGGTAATTATGTAACAGAGGATGTAGGACTCTCCCTGTAGGGTGGTTCACGTAACCGCTGTTCGGTCACGGCTTCCTCCCCCATCAAGTTCATGTATCAGAAACAAATAACTGGCTAACTAATCTCATAGCCGACATGGATTTGTAATTGATTTGGACGAGAAGCCATGGTTCGCCGTCTCATCGGTTCTCCTCTCATCTGGGATGAATATGTAAAGTCTATCCTTCCTAGTTTGGATATTGGATAATGAATACACAGGCTTGGTTTATATAACGTCACGTATTGTGTCAATTTGGACTAAATTTCGAGTGATTTAAACTCATAAAAAGTATTCACACCTGCAAGAATGGACAATACTCCTCCAACTTTTCCAATAACTTCTTTTCCCTCTTTACCTCCAGCTATCAAAGCAGCTATTGCACCACACAATAATATCACATCTCCCATCACGTTGAAGGCGATACAAACTTTCTCAGCGTCTCCTTTAATCACTGAATTGAATAGAAAAAAATTGAACCGCAAGAGCTACTGAAATATATCAGACTCAAGTCACAATTCACTCATAGCGATTTGCCTTTTTATATCAAGAGCAGAATTTGATTTTCGAAACCTAATTATTTTAAAATTTTGTTAAAATATTTTATTAAATTACCATCCGTAGTTACGTCCCCAGTCTTTAGCGCGAACAAGCCTACCGAATATGTATTTGTGTAAATCCAACCAGGAGTTGACAATGCAATTACGTTGAAAATCAATCCGATCGCAAGTCCGCCTCCACTGCCAATGCGAAGAAAGCCCATACTGGAACTTGATGATATCTATTGCACTGGATTTTAAATTATAGAATGATCTGAATTATATCAGTTTAGCAACATCATTTAATAGAAAAGTATTTTTGAAAAAAAACATGATTCATCTCATTGATGGTGATTTGAAATGCACGTAACATCCAGAAATGACGGGAGTATCGAAATAAACTGATTTTCCAGCATATTATTTGCATAATTTTGCTTCAATTAGTGCGGAGATGTAGCAACTTACACAAACGAAGTGACTCCGAGACGACCCACTTATTTCCCGATTTAAAACGCAACCTTTTCAACCAATTTTTCATACCGAGATAGTGATCTTTACCTTACCACTGAAGTGACTATAGCTTTTATCCAATTAGTCGTTAATGTCCACACACAGCCACACTGGTATACAAACTATCTAATCACTATATCATATTGTGATATCCGGCATGATTCCAAATTTATACTGCTAAATCTACTAAGTCGCACTGATAATTTTTCTATCTGTTGTTAGAAATCTTGCTAGAATGCGTAGAAAAACGTGACATTTCTCATCGAAAACTTGGGTGTTTCACTCCCCATTAAAATCAAATTACTCAGGTTCAAAAAAGTTACAATATTCAAGTTTTCGACAACCACAACAGCAATACGACGACCAATTTTGAATATATAATACACACTACAGGAGTAGCCTATAATATAAATTGTAGAGTCATATGAATATTGAGACATCGCTTGTAAGCATTTCCAACACTTGTTCAACCGTTGCATACGTGCTCACGGTTGCCACCAGGAACAGATTTCAGAATGAAGTCTTTATTGCTTGTCAGTATCGAACAACAATATATGAGGGAACGCCCATGGCAACCCGTTTGGATTACGTGGTGGGATAGGTTAATGCTTAGCAAATAAACTATGATTTCGTGTACTACCCGAATATACCATCTTAGAAGAACTTAACGCGAAGAATCCAAACGATTTGAATAATTATTAATGCGGAAATAGCATACAATTCATACATGTTATATTATTTATGACATAAATGTGACGTCTCGTACCAGAATTGTAACTTTTCATGGTTAAATATAGTGTTCTGAACAATTCAGCAGTTGTACTCCTCTATCAATAATAATTTTTGCCAGGGTGGCCATTAACTACAAGCACAACCGCACAATTACGTCATACTGCCATTACGAACATTTCCATTTTTTAAACAAGTTTTATTACAAAAAGATATATTGGGATATCCGTTAAGATATATAGAAATTTTATGCAAATCAGAGCTACTCAAATATTATTTATATGATATCATTATTTATATTATATTTCGATACGGGCGTCCGTACCCTCAGCTATTGAATTCCGCTTCTGGGAGTAGTAACAGGGACTATTGACAGCGGAGTTGATTACATTCGTTGCATTTTGAAGTCGTCCGGTGAAATACTAAATTTGCAAATTCCAAAGATACAATTGTGAATCTCTCAAAATCCTTCAGTCATTTCACCAGAAGAAGGTGTTGGTGGCGTCAATCGGTCTCAACACAATTTTTTTCGACATCATCTACGATTAATACGCACATTGACCATGTTAAGTTGATAATCTAGTCTAGTGAATGGCAGCTGACGCTACTTTCTTCGCAGTATATGTCGAATTAGACGATTCATTGACTACTACGCCATGCCTTTTCCCGCGTTCGTAGCAAGAGAGAAAAAAGGCTGCGAATACCTGAACTTTTTGAGAGACGTTTGGACTTTGGATACGCCAGGGTTACGCAACTGCATGTACCAAATAACGTACCTATATATTCGTCCATAGTAAGAAAATTGTTAATTTTGTGAAAAATTTTCTTCTTCCATGTGTTCTTTACTAGGAATATGCCATTAATTATTATTGACCTCTACCGCTTTGCAGCTTATAAATTATCGAAATTAGCTATTATTTTCTCATTATCTATGTTAAAATATATCTTTTGTATCTGCCTGTTAACTGAATAAGGTCATATTTCATGAAAGCAGTGTGTTTGCACTCTTGGTCTAGCTAGGAGAACAGATAAAGTACTTGGCCAAAAAATATTGACCTGAAATAATTTTTCATTCATGGACCATACATAATAATGCTTTTGAATAACAAGTTATTTATGACCAATATTTGTGCTTAATAATAAAAATAGCCAACGCTTGAACACTAGAAACATATTTTTAATTATTAACGAGCCCATCCCAGATTAGCTTGATTTTTATGTGACATAATGTATATTTTGCGAAGATGATTGACGTTTTTATTAGTATATAAGTATTCAGTTTTCCATAACATATATAATGGAAATGTAATTTGTTTGTATTGTCGCGTAGGACGTAGGTTATATAACTTGATTCATATTGTCTTCAAAAAACTGAAACTCAATTATGCACGTAGTAATACAATGTCATTTGGGGTTGTTGAAATAAAAGAATTATATATTTTCTTAATTGGATTTTTATGACATCACACTTTGTTGTACATTATAGTTTTTCCTATAGTCATTGACCACAACTTGGGAATAGCAAGCATTACCTATAGTTCGAATGGTGTAGTTTGTAGTACACCGGTACCAAAATGCCAAGCAATTCCTGCTATGTTATGGTATACATCAGGCCTGGGCAAGTTGCGGCCCGCGGGCCACGTCCGGCCCGCGGCAACGTTTCATCCGGCCCGCGAGCAGGTTTCTAGATGTGGACACTTTCTTTTTTAAATTCATATAAAGTATACTTTAACTGTGAACAAAATTTTGTTTAGGAAAATGAAAAAGTCGGCAATACCATTCGACAAATTTTTTTTTAAATGACCGATTGTTTTCGCCAGCTCGAGATGTTATTTATTAGACCATAAACACCTTTACGTCGGTGATTATAATCACAAATTTCCTTCAACCTCCATATATATATATATATATATGTCTTGCATACGGAACTGTGAAACCATTGAGAAAAACGAGTCATTATATAATAATGCTAAAGATAAAGAAGTGCATCTGCAAGCAACCTAAATCGAGATTTCAGAGCGGCAATATAAAATACTAAAAACTGGACACATACAAGATTGATGTAGAAGGCTTGCGACAGATTAAAAACGCTGTTGTAGAAATTGGAAACTGAAAAATTTCTGGTGCCCATGGCACAAAGTAAAGTAAATTCAACCGATTTTCATGGTACTAAATTGAATTTAACTCGGTGTGGTTTTATTGCAGACGTAGGGATTTTTCTATTGGTGAAATCTGTAAAATAGAGACAAGTCATTGTTGCAAGAACAAATCACATTTGTTGATTTCACGAAATCGCAAAACACGAATAAAAGTAATCTGGCACTTTATCTCACATTTTTAGATCCGCGGCATGGGGGGGGGGGGGGGTATTTAAGAGTAGTAATGATTATATTTTGCCAAAGCAATCGCGGGTTAAGTTTAAAACAACAAAGCAAGACATTTAAATGTGCCCATATCAATGCATTTGAAATATACCCGTATCGCAAAAATAGGTATCAAAATTAAGTATATTCCGGCACTTTATTTCACATTTTTATATACGCAGATAGACGTTGTATTTTAGAGCAGTGCATTCCATACTTTTAAACTCGCAACGCCTTTCAATGCGTTACAATTTTCCACGACCCCTGTTTACGTTAAAAATGCTATGGTGACAACAGAGTTATATGAATCACGAATGTTTGGCCATCGAAGGCATGGTCTTAATTCCGCATAGTTACTCACTCTTTAGCATTAATGATAAAATTCAGCATTGTTTTGCAAGCGTGACGTTTCTCCGATCATATGTATTGTCTCGAAATCGCGATATTTATGTTTTAAACTAGTTTTAATAACTGTGTTTTAAATAAAAATAACGGAGTACAATAGTACTTTGTTTTATTTAAATGTGTACTGAAATGCATTAAAAACGCACAATTGGCTTTACTTAGTCCGGCCCGCCACTGCATTTGGAATATTCAATGTGGCCCGATAGCAAAAATAATTGCCCAGCCCTGGTATACATAGTACAGTAATACCTTGTATATATTCAAAGTTTAAAATAAAATTTAAAATGATAATAGACTGAATAATCAAATCTTCACCAAGCCTAATTTTAGATTGTTTGATTATTTTTAATTTTGCAACAAGACCGTGCTAAATCCCGCAAATTATTAGTATGTAGTCTATTTATTACCCAATGCCTTGTTGACCATCCAGTTACACATTTGCTTCCATGAGCTACAATGTGTCGTAATGTTTCTCGTTACAGTTGCAACAACAAAACGAAAAGTAAGAACGACTATGTACATTACGATTACACGATGTGCAAGATCAAATAAATTTATAAATGTCACAACCTGCCAGTCTCATCCACACCGCTTATATACTTGGTGTTTTTGCATTTCAGGCGCGGTAGCTTTTCAAACCGTTTGTGATGTTGCTAAGGAAGAGTGACGACCCCATAAGGCATAATCAATCAAAAGTTTTCAACCTCTTATAGAAACCGGCTTATGATTTATGGTAAATGACAGAGACAATGGTATAGTGCAGTACTTCCCAAGCTGTAAGTGGCGGCGCAATAGTGTGTCGGAGACTTGGCTCGAAACAATATTTGACATTAAAAGCTTTATACTGTATTGGTAATCATTTATCAAGAATAGCGGTATATTCTACAATGAAGTTATTTCATCTCGCGACTGTCTTCGCCAGGTGTCCAGTGCCCAATCGTACCTTAATATGTAAAGTTTTTCGGCCCCAACCAATGCACCCCGGCACACGCAATAGTTTTGATTTTATTTATTATTTATTTATTTTTATTTATTTAGACAGTGCGAATCATCATACTTATTTGAACTATATTAGGTGCTTGCAAATGGTGAGATAACGTTAGAATAACAATCTAATTGTAATAACTTTACTTCATAAAATGTTAGTACCACCATCGTGGATAGGGAAAAAATGTTATGAGTTAGCATATCCACATACGACTAGTTTTATGAATGGCAATTA